GATGAGGTCTCGCCTGCCCAGGCGGGTCTTGACCCCACAGGCTCAGGCAATCCACTCACTCAGCCTCCCCAAAGGCGCGGGATTATAGGCTGAGCCACCAAGCCCGGCTAAAAAGACACTTCCTAAAAGAAGATATACCGGCAGCCAACAGACACATGAAAAAGTACTCAGCCTCACTAATCATCAGAGAAATGCAAATCAAAACCACATTGAGGCCGGGATCGGTGGCTCAGCCTGTAACCCCAGCACTTTGGGAGGCCGAGGCGAAAGGATTGCCTGAGCCCATGGGTTCGAGACCCACCCGGGCAACTTGGGCCAGACCTTGTCTCTACAATAAATAAAAAATTAGCCAGGCGTGGTAGCGCGCACCTGTAGTTCTGGCTACTTGGAAGGCTGAGGCAGAAGGATCTCAGGAGCCCAGCAGGTTGAGGCTGTGGTGGCCGGGAGCATGCCACTGCCCTCCTGGGTGACAGAGTGAGACTCCAACTCAAAAAAAAAAACAAAACCACATTGAGATACTACCTAACCCCGGTAAGAATGGTCATCAATAATAAAACAAACAACAACAGATGCTGGCGAAGATGTGGAGAAAAAGGAATGCTTCTACATTGCTGGTGGGAATGCAAACTAGCACAACCTCTTTGGAAGATAATGTGGCGATTTCTGAAAGAACTAGAAATTGACCTTCCATATGACCCAGCAATCCCCCTATTGGGGATATACTCAGAGGAACTCAAATCCTTCTACAAAAAAGATACCTGCAATGCATGTTTGTTGTAGCTCTATTCACAATAGCAAAAACATGGAACCAACCATACTTGCCATTGAAACTGAACTGGATTAAAACAAAATGTGGTACATATACACAATGAAATATTATGCAGCCATAAAGAAGGACAAACATATAGACTTCACAGCAACTTGGATGGATTTAGAGTTCGATAATACTCAGTGATCTATCACAGAAACAAAGGACAGAGTGCCTTATGTTCTCACTCACAAGTGGACCTGGAACAATTATCATAATACTTTAAGAAAGGGATTGGCAGTAGTGGGAAACTGCCAGGGGCCGGGGGGTGGGGTTGGCAGTTAAGGAAAACTTCCAGGGGAGGGAGGGGTACACCTCATCAACAAGGGTAGCTGCATAATGAACATTTATATATCTAACCCTGAATTGTACACTACATCTTTAAAATAAAATTTTTTAAAAATGCTTAACAATCTCAGATTAGGAGGAAATATCTGTAAGCTGATAACAGCTATCTGTTAAGTTCACAGGAAAAAGTCAGGAGCCATGAACAGTCAAGAAATTTTTGACCAATAAAAATAGCATGGGGAATTGTCCTGTCAAAGCTTTTAATAAAGCTGTAACAATCAAAACACATTTTGTGCAGGGACAAACAAAAAGACCAGCAGGACAGAACAGAGGCTCAGTGACAGCCCTGTGTGGATATGTCAGCTTGGCGTATGATGCTGGTGATATCACAAACCAGCTGGGTAAGGACTCGATACTTAATAAAAGGTGCCCAGATCAAAAAAAATAAAATTAAGTCCTTATGTCACACCATCCACAAAAATTCCAGGTGCCTAAATGACATTAAAAAAACATTAGAGCCGGGCTCAGTGGCTCAGCCTGTAATCCCGCGCCTTTGGGAGGCTGAGGTGAGTAGATTGCCTGAGCCTGCAGGTTCGAGACCAGCCCGGGCAACTTGGCGAGACCTCGATTCTACGATAAATAAAAAATTAGCTAGGTGTGGTGGAGTGTGCCTGTAGTTTCAGCTACTTGGAAGGTTGTGGCAGAAGGATCGCCTGAGTCCAGCAGGTCGAGGCTGAGGTGGCCATGAGCATGCCACTGCACTCCAGCCTGGGTGACAGAGTGAGACTCTGACTTAAAAAAAAAAATTAGTCGGGCATGGTAGTGCACGCCTGTAGTTCCAGCTATTTGGAAGGCTGAGGGGGACGGATTGCCTGAGTCCAGAAGATTGAGGCTGCGGTAGCCATGATTGTGCAATTGTACTCCAGCCTGGGCAACAGAGACTCCAACTTAGAAAAAAGAAAAGAAAAAAAAAAGAAAAGAAAAACACAACTAAATGACAGTATGAAAAAGGAAAGCATTTAAACACTGGAAGAAAATATAGGAAAAACATCTTTCTGATATGGGGTAGGAATGGGTTTCTTAAACATAATACAATTTTAAAAAGAACTATAAAGAAAAAGACCTCGTGACCCGCCTGGGCAGCGAGACCTCATCTCTACAATAAATCACAAAATCAGCCGGGCGTGGTAGCACATGCCTGTAATTCCGGCTACTCGGAAGGCTGAGGCGGAAGGATCGCCGGAGCCCAGCAGGTCGAGGCTGCGGTGGCCGGGAGCGGCCACTGCACTCCAGTCTGGGCGACCGAGTGAGACTCCAACTCAAAAAAAAAAAAAAAAAAGACCAGTGATATGAATTACATTAATATTAAAATCCTCCACACAGGACAGCGTGGTGGCTCATACCTGTAATCTCAGGCCAAGGAGGGAGGACTGCTTGAGCCTAGGATTTCGAGACCAGCCTGGGCAACATAGTGAGACCTTGTCTCTACACAAAATTTTAAAATTAGCCAGGTGTGGTGATGCATGCCTGTAGTCCCAGTTACTTGGGAGACTGAGGCAGAAAGATTGCCTGTGCCATGAGGTCGAGGCTGTGGCAAGCTGTGATCATACCACTAGAGTGAGACTCTAACTAAAAAAAAAAAACACAAATCTTTTACACAATAACAGATAACATAAAAACAGAGAAAAGACAAGTCATATGCTAGAAAAAGTATTTATGAGCCATATGACCAATAATAAGTATATAGGTCGAGGCTGCGGTGGCCGCTCCCAGTCTGGGCGACAGAGTGAGACTCCAACTCAAAAAAAAAAAAAAAAAAAAGCATATAGAAAGGATACCTACAAATTAACAAGAAAAAGACAAACCATGTTATAAAAATGGGCAAAGGATATGAACAGAAATATGCTCAGTCTCAAAGGTAATCAGGGAAATGCAAATAAAAACACAGCAAGGTTTTCACACCCCTGAGTTTGGCAAAAATTCAGGATCCTGATGACACCAGGGAAGCAGGGATTGGTTTGCTGGTCTGCACAATTGACACAATCACTTCGGCAACACCTGGCTACAGGTGCACGTTCTCTCTGACCAGCCATTCCCCTTCCAAGTCTCTCTAGGGAAACTCTGGACATACATGCACCAGATGACCTGACCACAGATCTGTGTATGGCAACATGGCTTGTAACAATAAAAAAAGTGAGCCGGGCTCGGTGGCTCAGCCTATAATCCCGGGCCTTTGGGAGGCTGAGGTGAGTGGATTGCCTGAGCCCGCGGGTTCGAGACCTGCCTGGGCAGCGAGACCTCATCTCTACAATAAATCAAAAAATCAGCCGGGCATGGTAGCGCATGCCTGTAATTCCAGCTACTTGGAAGGCTGAGGCGGAAGGATCGCCAGAGCCCAGCAGGCGAGGCTGCGGTGGCTGGGAGCAGCCACTGCACTCCAGTCTGGGCGATCGAGTGAGACTCCAACTCAAAAAATAAAACAAAATAATAAAAAAGTGGAATAACCTAGATGTCTACCCACATCCTTCTGAATGAATAAACTGCATTTTATTCATAGTGAAATGCTTACACAGTCAACGTGAATCACCCATGCCTATATGGATCAAAAGAAGTAAATCTTATCAACATGGTCTGGAGTGATCAAGTTTCAAAAGGAGACATACAGCGAGATTATGTAAGACCTAAAAACACATGACCCACTTGCACAAGTAGAAAAGGTATAAAAACATGTATACGTATAGTAAAGGTATTAAAATATGCATGGGTTTTTGCTTGGGTTTTCCAATGCTGTCCTCAGCACTAAAGAGTGCCAGGTACCTAGGAGACACTCAACAAATATGTTTTGGATGAAGGAAAAAAAGAGAAAACTTGCTTGAGAGTGGGACACCTGAACTTTAGGAAGGTTCTCTCTGGGGGGGGGACTGAGGGGGAAAAAAAAGGAGTAGGGCTTTAGTTTAGTAACATCTTCTAAATCCAAGTAATGGGTAAGGGTGTCCTTTTTTAAATTTACAAGTATGCTTGAAATGATTGATATTTAAGGTTGAAATAAATAAAACTAAGCAAAGTGGAGGAATAGGAATCCCCAAATTTAGGACAAACTGTAGCCTCTTCTGAGATGACCCAGCCGGCCTCAGGGGTCTGAGAGCTGGTACTTGGATTTCACCTGCAATGCACTCACCTGAGTGTAGTGGGTGCAGGTGGCGTTGTGGGCACATTCAGCCGCTGTGTGGCTATACTGCTGGCCCTCTGCAAACCACAGGGTGACCACGTCGACAAAGGATGCCGAGCCTGTGGGCAGCAGCTGCACGTTCCAGCCCACCTGCGGGGTGGATGCCAGGCTTGGGGCAGGGGCGCCACAGAGGGCTGCCCTGGCTTGAGCCAGCCGGGCCAGGTTCTCACTCCAGTCCTGGGGGTGGCACAAACAGAGACATCAGCCAGAGGCTTTTGGCTGCTGGGCCAGGCCTCAATGATTCAACTTCACCATGGTCTCCAAGCATCCATGGGTGCCAGGTCATGCAGAGAAGACAGCACTGGATGAGGAGTCCTGCTTGGCCACCTGACACTCTAAGCCGGTCTCCTCCACTGCTCTGGGGCCAGGGTGGGAAAGCACAGGCGGTGTCTGACACCTTACCCAGAGCCAAGTTACTCCCAGGACTGAGCCTCCATCTCCCAGAGTCCTGTTGTGAGCACCCTTAGGCCCTGCCCGGCACGGATGGGCTGCTTTCCTGTTCCTGCCTGGTCATGAAAGCAGTTTTCAGATTGGCTCTGTGTTCTGGCCATCGTTAGAAGGACTCCGCTGCTCCCACCTGGCCAAACCACCCTCCTTCATGCCCCAGCAGCCATACCTCTCCATCCTATTTTCCTGGGCCCTTCACCCCCGGCCTTGGAGTAAACAGGGGTACCAGTGGGGAAATAGAGGGTGTGAGGGGTCTCCCAGGTCTGGGCCCAGTGAGTGGAGTTCTCTGCTTCCCCCACCCCATTCTCTCTTCTGAAATGAGGGGCTTGGCAATCCCCCCACCCATCAAGCCCAGTGACCTCTGGCAGTCACCCAATCTCCATGAGGCTCAATGTCCTCATCTGTAAAAGAGGGACAATAAGGTCCCCATAGGATAGCACTGTTATCAAGGCTGTGATTTTACCTCTGACGAGGGTGGAGCCGGGAGGTGGAGATTTCCCAGGGCCCCTCAGCAGCCCTGAATCACCCTAAGGGCCTCAGTCTCCACTGTGCACAAAGAAGGGGTGCCCTGGAGTGCGCAGGCCCAGCAGGTGAGGAGGCTGAGTGGTACGGTTCCACCTGCACTTTGATTTAAATGAGGCTTTTTACGGCCGGGCATGGTAGCTCATGTCTGTAAACCCATCACTTCGGGAGGCAGAAGCGAGAGGATTGCCTGAGCCCAGGGGTTCAAGACCAGCCTGAGCAACATGGTGAGACCTCATCTCTACAATGAATAAAAAAATTGGCCGGTGTGGTGGCACATGTCTGTGGTTCCAGCTACTTGGAAGGCTGAGGTGGAAGGATCACCTGAGCCCAGCAGGTCAAGGCTGTGGTGGCCGGGAGTGTGCCACTGCACTCCAGCCTGGCAACAGAGTGAGACTCCAATTAAAAAAAGAAAGAAAGAAACGAAATGAGGCTTTTAGGACTTAGCCAGGAGGGCCCTGCACGAGTGCTGGCTGCCAACCCGCTGACTGCAGCAGTCCCTTCTGCCTGTGGAGTCCTAGACAGGAGCACCCACCGCTGGCTGCCCCAGCTGGGAGTAGCCCTGGCTGCCAGGGATTGGGCCTGAGAAGGGGCAGAGATGCTCAGGGTGGAAAAAGGAGGAGAAGCGACTCCCTCCCAGTCCACCTCTGCCTGCCTGCCCCACCCCCACCTCCTGGGAAACTGACCTGAGAGCTCTCAAGGTCGCTGCGTGGCCACCAGCCTCAGAGGAGTTTTTGGAAGGCGGCCATGGGGAACTCTGCCCTCCCCCACTTGGTCCGGCCCTTGCTCCCTGGCCTGTTGTCACGGGCTGGGGCTCCTGGGGTTCCTGACAATGGGGGCAGCATTTCTGAGCCTCCAGATGACAGCCCCTGTCCTGCAACCCCAGTCAGGGTGGTGGGAAATGCCACACTCCCCCGACCCCAGCTCCTGCTGTGACATGTGAGCAAGTAAATGCGGAGGGAACTTGGGCGAGGCCCCTCCTAGTGGCCCAGATAAGCCCAGAAAGGCATGCTGGGTCCTGGTCACACACAAGCCCCCGCCAGTCGGCCAGTCCTGGCCTTTCTCCCTCTCTGGCCTCTGACCCTCCCATCCCACTGGACTCCCATGAAGCCTTCCCAGGAGGAGGGGATGCTCCCTCCTGTCTCTTGATCTCCATGGTGACAAGATACCAGGGCAGGAAAAAGGTCTGCCCTCGGGCCAGTGTGAGCCAAGAGGCCTGACCTCCTGCCCTGAGGGTGGGGGGGGGAAGAAGCCACATAACCCCCCAGAGACCAGGGCCTTGGTCCCCACAGTGGACAAGTGCCCGGCTGCCCCCGCCCACCCTGCCCAGGTGGAAGGGCGCCTGGACAGGCATGGCCTCCTGAGCCCTCCTCTGGGGTCTATCCCTCTGGCCGCCCCTCTGGCAGAGCAGAGCTGGGCTGGGGGCACTCACCATTCTCCGCATGTTGGCCGCTGGGGGGTGGACCCGGCTGCGCAGGCGGTTGTGCAGGGAGAGAAGCAAGAAACTCTCCTTCTTGCTCAGGCCTGCAGGTGGGGAGAGAAGGTCAGGCTGCCCGCCGGAGCCAGGGGGCTGGGCCCGTCCTCATGGTGAGGTGACCTTTAGGAAACAAGACCTAAGATCCAAGGACAGGAGTGGCTGTGTAGGTGCGGGGGAGGGTGCGGATCACAGAGAGGGAAGGAGATGAGACAGGGAGGAAGCAGTGGGAGTCAGGGAGAGAGAAGAGGTATGGTGCAGCACTTGTGCTGAATGCTGGGAGTTGGGGAGTGGGAAAGAATGGGGGGCTGGAGCTGGGTGTGAGGAGGGGGCCAGCCCTGGGCTCCCAGCAGCCCCCTGCCTGGGACTCCTCTTGTCCACTGAGTCTCTTTGGCCCCTACTGCAGAATCCAGTGGGTATTCTGGGCCCGCCCCTTCCTCCCTCTTCCCCCCCAGTTCTGCGAGGGCTCCCACGCCCAGGGACCAGCTTCCAGAAGTCTCCCAGCATCCCCTCTGCAGCGTTCACAATGGCTCCTCCACCTCCATCCTCACCGGCTCCCTTACCTCCAGGCATCAGAGCCTGCTCCTGCAGCTGGAGGGGCCACACCTCTGCCCAGGAGAGGCCAAGGAGGGCCAGGACCACAGGCAAGAGGGCCCCCAGCCCGGGGGAGGGCGGTGGCCGCAGCATGGCCTGTCGGGTGCTCCAGGCACGGTCTCGCCCAGCCGTCCAGCTCACTTGCTTCTCAGACTGGATGGAGTTATTCAGTCTCGAGGAATCAGGCTGGGCTGGCAGACAAAAGAGGGAGACTGGATAGTAAGTAATCGGTGTGTCCCAATAGCCTCCCCTTGGCGCTGGCATGAAAAGAGACGGACTGCTCCCTGGGATGCCTGCCTGCTCTGGCCTCTGGCCTGGCCAGCCCGCCCTTCACACACCCCCTCCAACAGCAGGCAGAGCGGTGTGCACTGACCCCATGGCCCCTGCTAATCATTGCAGGATTATTAGCGCCCTTGGGGAGCCCCCAGAGACCCCGCTGATTGGCCTGCAGACATTCCAGGGCTACAGATTAGTGACCGATGGCAGTGTCCTGGCTGGGACAGTGTCCTCCAAGCCCATCGGTGGCTTCCACTCCCCAACCCTGGTCCCAGAGAGGAGGCTGAGGCCTCGACTATGTGCACTTCAGGCAAGCAGGAACTGGGCAAGACCCCAGGGGAGTTCTTTCCTTTCTTGGGAAACTCATCCTCCCTCCCCCGCCGCCCCAGCCATGAATTAAACATAGGAGAGAGGTAACCGCACACCAGACAGGTGCCACCAGTGGGCCGTAGGTGAATGCGCTGGGGCTGCACCTGCAGGAGGAAAAGGGTGTCTTAGGATGGTCTGTCCGGGTGGTGTAGGGGGCTGGGCCCAGCCCTGGTGCCTGCCACCCTCACCCACGTGACTATGGGCTGGGAGGGGGCAAGGAAGGAGGGGCGAGGCAGGCCGGGACGAGAGCACGTGATGCCCTTGGCTGACTCTAGTCCTGCTGGGAACAAGTCTGCCTCTGGACAAACAGAAGGTGTGGCAGCAGGTGGCCATGGTGTTCTGAGGCCTGGCTGTGGCCTCCATAATCCCACCAGAATAATTTAGAGCACATCTGCACCGCAGCCTACATTTCTTGTAAAATCAACGACTGCCCTGCAGGCCACAGCCAAATGTTCACATTCCTCTCAGGACAGATCAAAGTTTATCCAGCCATGCCAAGGGAAGGACAGCCTGGCAAACCAATTACTTCCTCCTTCTGGCGTTTGTGTGACCCCTGACCCCTGAGCCAGCACCTTCTCGGAGCCCAGAATCAACCCCGTGGAAACTGCTGAGGTGCAGGTGGGCTTGGTTTTACTGGGGATACAGAGATGGAATCACCATGGGTGTCAGGGGTGGGCGCAATGCTAGGCACTAGGACCACGAAGCTGACCTGGGGCTGTGTCCCTCCCCACAAGATCCCCAGGGACTCAGGGGTTTCTTCTTCCTCAAATGGATAACCTGGCAATCTCAAACTCACCACTTCTGGGTCTCAGTGATGCTTAATAAGAGCTATTATTTAATTATTTGTTTATTTAGTCAGAGTCTCATTCTGCTACCCAGGCTGGAGTGCAGTGGTATGCTGATAGCTTACTGCAGCTTCTACCTCCTGGGCTCAGGTGATCCTTCTGCCTCAGCCTCCCAAGTAGCTGGGACTACAGGTGTTTACCACTACACCTGGCTATTTTTATTTATTTATTGGAGAGATGAGGTCTTGCATGTTGCCCAGGCTGGTCTTGAACTCTTGGCCTCAGGCAAACCTCCCGCCTTGGTCTCCCAAAGTGCTGGAATTAATGACAAGCAGGCGCCACCGCATCTGGCAGTGCTATCTTTTATTTTATTTTTGTAACTTTTAGTTTTAAAGATGTGGGGTACAATTCAGGGTTAGGTATACAAATGTTCATTATGCAGGTACCCTTATTGATGAGGTGTGCCCCTCTACCCTTCCTGGTGCTATCTTTTTTTTTTTTTTTTTTTGAGTTGGAGTCTCACTGTCGCCCAGACTGGAGCGCAGTGGCCGCTCCCGGCCA